TCATTTACTTTACTTTGAGTCCTAAAAATTCCCATATGACCACCAATTAATGAGTTGTGATAGAATGCGAATATTACACTAAACAGTTTCTTGGGCAAATAAATCTTCTTTTTAAACAATAAAACTTCATTTTTCAGGGTATAATTTTCATTATTAGTCTTATTCTTGATGCTTTCAATGATTTTCTTACACTCTTCATCGCTCTCTTGATGTACTTTAATGTCCTTAAGATCCAATGGTATTTCATTTAACACATTGCAAAAATAGACTTCATTGTTGATATTGCTTAACAGATTTGTTTCGTGAATTTCCGTCTCACTCTCTTTCTCTCCACTAAACATACGTGATAACGCATCAGCTATTATATTCTCCGAACCTTTTACATGTTCAACTGTGAATGGAAGACTAAACAACCTTTCAAACCATCTAGACAATCTTCCACGGCTTTTTCGAGATTTGAGCATGAAACTAAGACCTTGACAATCAGTAACTAATTTAAAACTTCTTACTTCCAAGAATTGATGCCATTTCTCTACACACAATATTACACTATAAGCTTCCTTTTCGTAAGTGCTATAACGCATCTCAGTAGGTGTGAATTTCTTCGAATAGTAAGCAATAGGCATTATATTCCCCTCCTCATTTCTTTGCAATAAAACACCAGCAGCTGCTAGGTCGCTTGCGTCGGTATGCAATTCAAATTCTTTAGAAAAATCGGCCATTTGTAGTATAGGCGGATTTGCTATCTTACTCTTTAAGGTTTCAAATGCATTTTGACACTCCTCGTTCCATTTAAATTTTACACCTTTCTTTTTCAGCCCAAACAGAGGTAAACATATTTCAGCATATTTAGGAATATATCTAGACCAATAACCACACATTCCTATAAACTGTCGCACTTGCCTCACAGTTTTTGGAGCAGGAAATTTCATTAATGAGTTAGTTCGCTCGGGATCTATTGTGATGCTATCTTGTTTAATAATATGTCCTAAAAAACTTATTTCCTTACAAAAGAATTTGACTTTTTGTGGATTTACCGTAAGTCCGTGTTTTGCTAATCTCTTAATCACTTCTGTAACGTGCTCAATATGGTTTCTCTTATCAGGGCTATATACAACTATATCGTCACAAAAGTTAATCATATACTGAAATTTGATGTCATTAAATATTTTGTCCAAATAATGTGATAGTACGCTACTGCCTATTTTCAATCCAAATGGAATTCTCTTCATACGGAATTTACCAAAAATTGTACTAAAAGATGTTAAATCTCTGGATTCTAAAGCTATGGGACATTGTAAAAATGCTTTGTTTAAATCTACGACTGTAAAATATCTAGCTCCTTTTAGATGCTGATACATATTCTGCATATCTCCTAGCGGGTAATCTACATTGATTAACTTCTTATTGAGTTCAGAGTAGTTAATTACAAGTCTGTCATCTTGAGTCAAAAATGCAGGGGCGCTATATGGACTAGTGGAAACTTCCGCGACATCTTGTTTTATCCAGTCATCAATTATAGCTTTCATCTTCTCTACTTTGGGTGGACTTAAAAAATAAGGGCGTATACTAACAGGTTTATCATCCGTCACTTTAAGCTCAATTTCCAAATCAAGTGCTGATCCTATCTTATCCGTAAAAACAGTAGGAAAATTCTTAATTAACTTCTCAGCTTCTTCACACATTTCAACATCTCCTACTTTAATACTACTTGAGCTTAATTCACTCAGGTTTGTACTTGGAATTAACTTAATTTCATCTTCAGGTTTAAATGTAAAATAACCCATTTGTCGATCCATATTTAGGTTTAACTTGCTTGCACACATAAAAGGGTATCCTAAAATCATGTCAAAATATTTTAACTCAACCACTAAAAATGTTTGTTTCCAGGTAAATGATTTTATCTTAATCAAAGTTTCACATTGCTTATTTATGTTCAAAGGTTCATTGTTTGCAGCAACTATGGTTCCCTGCCAAGTATTTTCACTCATAATTAATTTATTTCCCAATAATCTGTTGTATAAATCCAAGCTTATAAAGTTTTGACTAGCTCCAGTGTCTAACAAAGCTCCCACACTTAATTTGTTTCCTAAATCCACAGAAATACAGGGTAAATGTGTTACAGTTTTAGCTTTTACTTTCTTTAATCCAGGTGAATTTATTTTATTAAAATCCTTAACAACTCTTCTCAGTTCAGACTTAAAATTGGGACTATGAGAACTATATACAGGTTTATTATTTCCGAATTCTTTCTTGCCGTCCGGAAAAACAGATTTGTAGTCTAGGCTACGTGTTTTTCCTGGCTTAACTAGTTTTTTGGATCTGGTCTGTAACAATTTCGAGCAATATGACCTACTCTTTGACATTTGAAACAAACAGGCCTCTCATTGTTACGATTTGAGTAGTGACTTTTAGGTCGTTGAACTCCTGGGTTAGGTTTATCCATCCTAGGCTTATCATCAGTTGATAGATAAGGCTTGCTAACACTACTATTACTAACTGGAAAACCTTGATTTCTGAGGTAATCATTGTATGTTACATTATTTAAACTTATACAAAGATGATCTAAGTCTAAAAATGTTTCAGGGTTCTTCTCAAATATTAGTTTGTTGCGCAAATCAGGATGTATTCCATTCTTAATAAAACTAACAAGTTGACTCTCAGTTAAATCACACTTTAATACCTGGTGGTTTATTTTTATTTCATGCACATATATAGACAAAGGTTCAAGGTGTTTTTGAGGTCGAAAAATTAAATCTTGTTTCAGCTTTTCCCTTAAGGTGATTGGCAAAAATGTAGTGATTATATTAGCATGCAACAAATCAATTGATTTTGATTCCCTTTTGAATTCTAATATTTTATTCACTAATGGTGCTGTAGAATAAATTGGTAGAATCTCATACAAATCTTGCTCAGATAAAGAACTTTCATTTCGGACAGTAACTAGGTTTCTCAAAAACTGCAACAATGTGTTTGTTTCTAAACCATTACACACAGGAAAATTTTTTAAATAAATTTCCAATGGGTTTGACAACTTTGTAAAAAGGCTACTAGGACTTAGGCTACTATTTACAACTGTACATGAGTTTGGTTGATTATTTATGACTTGACCCGGCACATTTTGTTGAAAACAATCCATTTCTACTTTTTGAGGTGTTGATGAAGTGAAGTTTTCAGTTGGTGGAACTACAGATTTAGACTGGTTTAATTTGTCCCCAATTATTTCATGCTCAACTATAGAGTTATTCAGCTCCTCTTCAAAATCCCCCATTTCCTGGTCTGAGAAGGTATGCATTGTTTTAAATTGCTCAAAACTATTTAAGATTTGCTGATTTAATTTGTCTAAACTAACTTTCTTATCTGGATCCAGCTTACATTGTAATAGATTAGTAGTCCGGTTTTGTACATGCACTAGTTTAGCCTTGATTTTAGCTATTTTGAGTTTAGTCACATTTTCCCTACACTGTTCAATTAGAGAATCAATTTGTTCACACTTTTCCCCAATTATAGTTATTTCCCCAGATAAAGTGTATGAACCTTTTAAATTTGTTAAATCGGTATTCTGGTTAATACAAGATCTTAAAGTTTTTCTTAAAGAGTCTACATCACTATCACTCGTTTCTTCCCCTCTTATTCTTATCTCGTACAGAAGTTCTTCTTTGTTTAGATAATTTAAATTGTATTTTGACATGTTGAAAATTTTCAGCCTCTATTTATTTGCTGTAGTTCTTCTAACATAGGCATAATCCTCAATAATCATGTAGGCCTATGTATTTCTCACTTTTACCAGCTTCTAATTTTAAATGATTCATTAGCAGAGTAGCGCACTTGTATACCCCTACCTTGTAGCCAATTAGGTAGTATACTTTAATTTAGGATGAATCTAATTTAAGCTGGTAGTAGAAGTGAGATAAATTAAAAGACAAAGTAGGCCAAAGATGCATTTATTTTACGGATGTCAAATTTCTCAAAATACACTTTCCAAATGAAATTAAATATCCAGTTGTTACTTCCAAAAATTATACTAAATAATAAAATAGTGGAAAGATCTTACTTTAAACAGAGACACTGGTTTAATGGTCAGAACAGGCACTAGCAGATATCATGCAAACTAGAAGTGGTGCAAAAAGCTACTGGACCAATCATAAGAAGGTGAACAAGAAGTGGTAGTACCAAGAAGTGGTTGATTTCTGTCTGAAAACATCACACAAACCCAATAAAAACTATTCTCTATAAATTCTAATAATTAAAAGTAGATTTAAGATCTTTACAACTTCTTGTGAAAATGTGCTTCTCCTAGAACAAAACTCAACAGGTCTGTATAAACTTTACTTGTTTTCTTTTCTTGTAAAAAGCATTAAAAATTGATTTGAAAACTATTATTTACTTTTCATCTTTTTCCAAAAGTGATTTCTACAAAGCTATATACAATAAATCAGCTAAAATCTTATTACTAAACAATATTAAAACTACTTACAATTTTCTACAGCAACCACAACTTAGATGACCATATTTCCAGTGAACTTAAAACTGACAAAGTTGAACCTAGTTATCACTAACCACTACCAACCCTACAAAACTAAATCTTTTTAAACTGCTGGACACTCTTTCTTAATCTTTCCTAGCCAATGGTTAAATAATATGATTTTGTTTTGTTATTTCAAATAAAAACTAACTACCATCGGTACACTGATGACATCCTTTGACGCCTGAAGATGACTTCATGAAAGTTAAAACTAGTTGCGAGTGTTGCCACATTGCAACCATTTGGATTACAATCAAAGGGGCGAAGCAGGTATTTACACCAATTCTTATATTCAATATAATCCGGAGGCTAACAGCGAAGTGAAAGTAAAATTCTAATAATTTGCTATGAAATAATGAATGTCATTTACATACGGTACCTACGTCAGATCAGTTATTACTCAAAAGTCAAAACTAAACATTTTTCTAAAAGGCCTAGTGTTTTGGTATCCAACATCCAACATGTTACTTTTCAGAGAGAACCAGATGAACATGGAGAGCAAAATGATCCCATTCCGTGACTCGAAGCTGACTCAGCTGTTCAAACACGCTCTGACAGGCAAAGAGAGTGTTACCATGATTGTTAATGTCAACTCAGACTATCAGCTCTGTGAAGAGACCCAGCATGTGCTAAAGGTAAGTCACTTCCACCATTGAAACCAACAACTAATAAACAGTATCAGCAATCTGACACATACTTTCTCCCATTAGCTTGTCAACAACCATTTTCATGGGTAAGCGATGAGAGTAACTATGGTAGTTAATAGGTAAAATCTCAAAAGTTTCATTAACTTTTGAACAGTAATTTTAACAGGAATGAAGGGATGCACTATTTTGTTTAGAATTATAAGGACCATAACAGAAGAATTTCAATCAGAATCAGTTATTCTTCAAAAAATCCATTTTCCGTGTTTTAAATTGGTTTTTATGGGGAAATAACATAAGTTACAATAACTTTTGAACCATAATTTTAACAGAAATGGGGGGTTGCACTATGTTGTTTAGAATTATAAGTATTACCACATACTAATTTCAATCTAAACCGGTTTCTTTCAAAACTACGATTTTCTCTTATTTTACGGGTTTTTTTATTGGAAAATAACATACAATAACTTTTGAACCGTAATTTTTACAGTAATGGGAGTTCTACCATTTTGTTCAGAATTTAAAGGGCTACAACATACTAAATTTCATCAAAATCGTTCAGGCCATTTTTGAGAAAATATAATTTTTCCGTTATTTTATGGTAAAATTGACATTAAAAATCAAAATTTAAAATTAATTGAAACGCCTGGAGATACCATGGATTAGTACCTACATACCAAATTTCATTAAAATCGGACTACAGGTGAACTGAGAACACAGACATCACCTCAAAAACCACTTTTTTGGGTCCCCTGAAAACTCAAAAATTTTGACGAAAACAATACTTTCTCCATATATGGTATAGGTGGAGAAAGTAAAAAACAGTCAACTATTTACTTAAGTAACAAATATTTAAAGTACCTTTAAAATGAATTTGATCTTTTTGGGTGATAATTATCTTCAAAAAATTGTTCTAAATATTAATTTACAGTAGACTCCCTCTAGTTCGGCTTTTGTTGGATCGGCCGCCGGATGGTCCGGCCTGGTCTCAGGGGGTCAAGTCATATCGTCATGGGTGAATTGGCTTCGACATGATTCAACTTTAATGTTTAGTTTCCGGCCATAGAAGTAAACAATTCATGTCAGTTTACAGGGTGTATACCAACCGGGAAAACCGGGAGAACCGGGAAATAACCTTGAATTTGAAGGGACCTGGAAAAAACCGGGGAAAAGCCGGGATTTTTTGACCGATTCCGGGATTTTTATTTTGCCCCGGTAGAAGATTGTAGTCGTAAAATGCGTCTTGCCGCGATTGCGGGCGACGACGATGACGTTTTCGTGACCGCGGGAGACGACGATGACGTTTCAGTGATCGCAGGATACGACAATGACATCTACACGTCCGCGGGAAATGTTCATGATTTGCCGCAATTGCGGTCGACAACGACGACGTTTCCGGGACCGCGGGAGACGACGATGATGTTTACATGGCTGCGGTAAATATTAATGATTTTACCGCGATCGCGTACATCGACGATTACGTTTCCCTAACTGCTGGAGTCAATGATGATGTCTACACGGCCGTGGAAGATTTTCATGATTTGCCGTGACCGCGAAAGATGACGATGATGATTTCTACACGGCCGCGTGAAATGCTCATGATTTTGCCGCGATTGCGGCCGACGACGATGACGTTTCCGTGACCGCGGGAGACGACGATGACGTTTCCGTGACCGCGGGAGACGACGATGACGTTTCCGTGACCGTGGGAGACGACGATGACGTTTCCGTGACCGCGGACGACCACGATGACGTTTTTGTGACCGCGGGAGACGACGATGATTATGTCTACACGGCCGCAGATGTTTATGATTTGGCCGAGATCGGAACGACGGCGATGACGTTTCGATATCTGCGAGAGGCAATGATGATGTCTACACGGCCGTGGAAGATTTTCATGATTTGCCGTGTCCGCGAAAGACGACGATGATGATTTCTACACGGCCGCGTGATATGCTCATGATTTTACCGTGATTGCGGCCGACGACGATGACGTTTCCGTGACCGCGGGAAACGACGATGACGTTTCCGTGACCGCGAGATCAACGATGATGTTTACACTGCCACGGGAAATATTCATTATTTTGCCGAGATTGCTGACGACGACGACGATGACGTTTCCGTGACTGCGGGAGGCTATGATGATGTCTACACGGCCGCGGAAGATATTCGTGATTTGCCGTGACCGCGAAAGACGACGATGATTATGTCTACACGGCCGCCGATGTTCATGATTTAGCCGCGATCGCGGACGACGACGATGACGCTTACGTGACCGTGGGATCAACGATGATGTTAACACTGCCGCAGGAAATATTCTTGATTTTGCCGAGATCGCGGACGACAACGATGACGTTTTTGTGACCGCGGGAGTCAATAATGGTGTCTACACGGCCGCGGAAGATTTTCGTGATTTTGCCGCGATTGCGGACGACAACGATGACGTTTTCGTGACCGCGGGAGTCAATGATGGTGTCCACACGGCCGCGGAAGATTTTCGTGATTTTGCCTTGATCGATTTCCGTGATCGCGAGAGACGGCGATCATGTATACATACCGTGGAAGATGTCCAGGATTTTTCTATGATAACGTAAGACTGTGATGACGTTTAAGTCACTGTGGGAAGCGACCACACGACCGCAGGAAATATTCAGGATTTTGCCGCCGTTGATAATGTGTTCATAAAAAATGAAGATAATATTCAGGATTTGGCTGCTATCGAGAGAGATGATGTTTCCGTGGCCTTAAGTAATGATGATAATGAAAATTATTACTATAATAAGGATTATTACTTTTTAAACACTAGCTCAATGGACTTTGAAACAAATTAATGTAAGTTTATATTGTATACTTGAGCTGCAAGTCTTAAATTGATTATAGTTTAAGTGGAACCAACAAATACGCGGGAACCTGGAAAAACTTTGAAAAACCAGGAAAAAACCTGGAAAAAAACCTGGAATTTCACTTTAATAAAATAGTATACACCCTGGTTTAGTTGACAGGTGCTTCTATGGGTGGATTGTTGCATATTACCTATGTAAAACTATTTTACATAACCTCAAAAATATGAGAACATTTCATAAAAGTTGTTCGTTGGTCTAATATGTTGAAATGCAGTGTATAATTAAATATTTCGGACCATTTTTTTATGCGGTAGGTTCCCCCATTATTGCTTTGGAAACACCACGGATTATTTGATAAAAATAAATTAAAGCAAAACAAAGAAATAGCCATCGTTAGCTCAAGGTCAAGCTATTCGCTTGCACTGACAATCATCTGCTCTTTACACAACTGATGTCTGCTGTGCACTTACTTGCTATCTCACAACAGTTTGTGATTGGGTGATTGGTAACCATGGCAACTTGTTGAATGTGTGGATGAAACCAAAGAAAGAATAGAAGAACAAAGAAGAAAGAATAAGCAGAGTTTTACATCATCCATTGTTATCTTTACCCTATTTTACGACTGTCGTTATTATCTTTAAGACTAAGTACTATGATTTTATGCTGTTTTATGAGTTGTCTAATGTTTTTATCAACATTCTTATGTTCTGAAACAACATGTAGTAGTAGCCTATGCTGACTACGGTAGCAGTAGCTTGCAGTACTAGACTTTCTATTGTTTTGTTCTTTACGTGATTTAATGCTGTACACACAGTGTTGTGTAGTTTTTGTTTTGCTTGAGTAGGCGTGATTTTAAACATTACAGTTTTTATTACTGAACCAAGGTTATTGACCTAACATATCACGATTGCGCAATACTATTATTTGTATTTTGATTATGTAAAATGCACTACATCCGGTTAGTCCGGCCGTTTTGTAGTTCGGCCAGTGGTCCGGTCCCGAGGTGGCCGAACTAGAGGGAGTCTACTGTGATTTAAAAGCATCAAACCCTATGGGTTACTTCACTTCACCTTTTTTGTTGTTGCCCTCTCTGCACTTATATGTTTTGTGATAGGCCTAATAGCTCTGGCGAATTTCTGATTATTAAGTGGCTAAAAATGACAGTGCATTTAGGGTGAATCTCTCAATTAGAGAAAGCAGCAGTTTTTAGCTTTACACATTTTGGCAAAATCACAGTTAATTGTTTTGTTAAAATAGCATATCTATAAGCATAACCATATTAAAACTAAGCAGACTGCTGTTCTTCTCTTTGTTCAACCAAGGTTGCAACAATTTTCAAAAAAATCATACTTTTAGATTCAGATTTTAAATTAATTGGCTGAAAATTTTTTGATTATGATGTTAAAAAAGGCAGTTATATTTAATTTTTACGAACACATCCGGACAACTTTTTTAAAATTTAAATTGTCCTATACAGGGTGATTGATATAAGCGTGCCAGCTGCTTTATTCGAATACTATAAGAGATATAAAAAAAGTTAGATGGTAAGTGCCTTGGAATTTTTATTTTAAAATCTAAAGCCAAGTCGAAAAAATATTTTAGCCGCTATTTTTCCAATGTAGCCGCCAACTTTCATTTTTCTTATGGAACACCCTGTATTTTATTATGTATTCCGTTAGGAAATGTAATGTTAGGACAATTTTACTCTAGTGCTTTTTTTCATTAACCTAACCGTTTCAAAGATAATAATGGTTAAAGTTTTGATATTTTGGCATGAGAAAGAGTTTCGATAAAGGCCTAAGCAAGCATGCCGGCTGTTTTATTCGAAAACTATTCGAAATTTCTAGGGATGGACGGGTCCCGAAATTTCGGGAATTTTTCGGGAAAAAATATTCCCGATTATCGGGACGGGATTACATTTGACTCGGGAATTTTTCGGGGTGGGATTTGGTCCGATCGTCGGTGATTTTTCCGCTTCGCGAGTGCCGATGACGCCGTTATTGCGAGCGATAGGTCCGCGAACGCAGGAGACGAAGTCTTTTCGACGATTACGCCGTGACCGCGGAGTCATAACGACGATCGTGCCGTGACCGCGGAGTCATAACGACGATCGCGCCGTGACCGCGAAGTCCTACCGACGATCGCGCCGTGACCACGAGTCATACCGACGATCACGCCGTGACCGCGAGTCATACCGACGATCGCGCCGTGACCGCGGAGTCCTACCGACGATCGCGCCGTTACCCCGGAGTCATACTGACAATCATGCAGTGATGGCGAGTCATACCGACGATCACGACGTGACCGCGGAGTCCTACCGACGATCGCGCCGTGACCGCGGAGTCCTACCGACGATCGCGCCGTGACCGCAAGTCATACCGACGATAACCCCGTGACCGCGAGTCATGACGACGATCGCGCCGTGACTGCGAGTCATGACGACGATCGCGCCGTGACCGCGAGTCCTACCGACGATCGTGCCGTGACCGCAAGTCATACCGACCATCGCGCCGTGACCGCGACGATTGCGCCGTGACCGCGGGTCATGACGACGATCGCGCCGTGACCGAGGAGTCATACCGATGATAACCCCGTGACCGCGGAGTCATAACGACGATCGCGCCGTGACCGCGAAGTCCTATCGACGATTGCGCCGTTACCGCGGAGTCATACTGACGATCATGCCGTGATGGCGAGTCATACCGACGATCACGACGTGACCGCGGAGTCCTATTGACGATCGCGCCGTGACCGCAAGTCATACCGACGATAACCCCGTGACCGCGAGTCATGACGACGATCGCGCCGTGACCGTGACGATAACCCCGTGACCGCGAGTCATGACGACGATCGCCCCGTGACCGCACAGAAAATAATCCCGTCCCGTCCCGTCCCGAACTAAATATTCAATCCCGTCCATCCCTAGAAATTTCACATTAACCATTATTATCTTTTAAATGGTTAGGTTTATAAAAAAATCACAAGAGCAAAATTACATTTTCTACTGGAATACATAATAAAATACAGGGTATTCCATAAGAAAAACCAAGAGTTGGCATCCATATCGGAAAGATGGCGGCTAAAATATATTTTTAGACTTGACTACAAATTTTTAACCATAGCAGTGGTCAATGTTAGAAGTGGGGAATGGCCAACCCATTTGGGCGATTTTGCAGACTTTTTTTTGAAAATTCGTAAAAATTCAACCGTACAAGTAAACCTAGCCAACCTCATATTCATTTTGTTCGGAAAGAACAGGAGAATCTAGAAATAGTATAATGATGTAATATAATAATGATTTAGATATTGTATTTTTTTGGTAAAGTGAAAAAATAAAAAAAATTTGATTTTTATTTTAATTTCAAAAGCGGCCTCGGTATTTTTTTTCCTACGGATTTTTTATGGGAAATTCATTATATAGCCTACATTTTGTAGACAATCTAATTCCCTACATAGAAGAATATAACATGTTAGGAAAATAATTTTTTTTATAAGTTTTTGGCGCGAAATATAATTACAAACTGAGAAGCGAAAACATTGAAAACCGTACAGTGTTAGTTTGTGTTGTAAAAAGTTATATAATATATGTGTATACTAATAATGATATATACATGTTTGTAAAGCTAATGAAGTAAGGAATCAAAGAAAGTCATAAAGTTTATGGTAAAAATATTTTTTATTTATAAATAAAATAATGTTTTTGTATTTTAGCGATTTTGTGAGAGAAAAAAATCATAGTATTTAGTATAAAACTTTTGTACCAAATGTTTTTACTTCAAACCAACATAAACATCTTGTAGTGTATTCAATTACCTACATAAAAATGTATAACATGTTGGGTAAAAATTTTTGTTTTTACGTGTTAGGGGCATAATAATATAAATAAACGGAAAACCTCAAAATACAACTAAAAGAAAAATACAACCTTTAACCTTTTATAAACACAATTTGACACTATTCAGTAAATATTCATGCATAATAAAATACATGAAGATTACTGTTATATACACATTTCTAAAAAAATACGAAATACCATAACGAATTTAGTAATCAATCGCGGATAAAACGAGAGCGAAAACTCAACGGCAACAACACGCAATGGCGAATACAAGGCACTTTGTGTATGAGATCTTGACTTTTTTATATTTTTATGTTTATATTAAATTTTATATTGTTGAAAAACCAAACAATATTGTAATCATTTTTGTATGGAACTAACATGATGTATTTTGTAAATATTTTGGCGGAATAAATGCAATTTTGATTTGATTTGTTATCGAACTGCTTAACCAAAATGTCCCACGCTTTCTTAGCTGATAATCTTCCAGAAATACATTGATGTAGATCATCAATAACGCTCTGAGAAATGACTATTTTTGCCTGAGTGGTGGATTTGTTGAATTTCTCAAGTTCTCCCTTTTCGATTTTAGTCGGAGGATCAGAGAGGGTAGGCTTTTCTCTCTTTCCCTCGACGATATCAACTGCGTCGAACAACTCTAGAACGTCCAACACTCGATCTTTCCACGTCGGCCAATCTTCTGCTCCTTTCAATGGTTTTATACCTTTCACATATTCCATTTGTAGAGCTGGACAAACTCGATCGAAAGATTTACCAAAGAAATAATACTCTTGAGAAAGAAAATTACGTCAGAATAAATTGTTGTTACCGTGTGCATAGTAGACTAGATTTCCTAACACTGTTATGTACATAAAACGATGCTGGGCCCATAACCTCTTGAATTATTCTCCCAAGTGGAGGTGTTTAGGAATAATCTAAGTATAACTACGACGAAAAAACTAATTTAAACTATAAAAATAAGCAAAAGTATTTCTCATAAATCTTTATAATGAACAAATTTGGACAAACAAAAACAGACAGCTGATAGTAAAAACAACATTAACATCATCAGTATGACTATTACAAATAATAATAAAAAGGCAGGCATTTTCAACATAAAAACAATAAAGGTAGAACCTACTGCATATAAAAATGGTCATATAAACTTTTTGTGGTATTTTTGAGGTTATGTAACATAATTTAAGAGGCGTCTATTGACCACGGTTGATCGAAATTCTACTCCATGAGATTCTACTTTTTATATGTACAGCTTTAAATTCTGGTGGGGGTTTTAAGCATAGCACAGTCCATCTAGAATTTAAAACTCAATGTTTTTGGAATAACTTATTTGAAGCTTTTATTTTTATAAATTTCTTAGTTGAAAACAAGTCAACATAAATAAAGTTTTATTGATAAAAGTTTATAGTTTTTAATTTAAATTCAGTATTTGTAATATGTTGATTGTGTTTTGAAGGCATCAGCCATTGCCAAGCACATAGTTGTGCAGCAACGGAAGCCCAAGCAGCACAAACGGGACATACGACAGAGTGTGTTCTCTCAGATTGTCAAACACAATCGCAGTACTCTCATACGGTGGGACTCATGTGTCAAGCCTAAAGGTAAATATCAGCACCATAACATGAATGAAATAATTAATACACAAACTTTGTATAGCTTCATCTTTATTAGGAGACACCACATCAACTTTACAAGAAATTGGATTATAGGCTTTTATGAGAAAAGATTACTTATGCTGGGGTAGGTTTTATTATAAACTGCCTGAGGACATTTTGAAACTGGAAAACTTGAAGTTGTGTTCGATAATATTTAAATGGGACGCTAGGACATCCTGTTGTTTGGAACCAAATATGTTTTCTTTGTTTCAGCCAATGAGCTTATGCAAGAGGACATAATTGAGGAACAAAACAAAAATGAACGAGAACAGAAACAAGAACAGTATGAGGTAATCCATCAAAAAGCCTACGCAACTTAGTCACTCATAAACTGATACAAAATCTATTATATTTATTAAACTAGGGTCAATCTTTGATTTGAAACATTTATCTTCAAAATTAAAAAGATAATTAGTTGATGTTTAGTAGAATATTCAGATCTGTTGCATCTTGAGAAAATGACAACAATTTGTAAGTTACTAATTTTATAAATACAGTAAAATAAAAACCTCAATAACTCAACATTCTGTGAACCCAGAGGTTGTCAAGTTTATAGGATTTCAAGTTTCCAGAACATTGAAATTTTTAATCCGGGTTTAATAAATATGAATACATAAGACTTTTTTACAAATAAGTTGGTTACTTACATGAGTATTTTTATTAAATATTAAGTATACAATCTTCAAAGAAATGTCAAATATTCAACTATTAAAACTAAATGTCAGCTGTTGACTGTCAAGGTCCACAGACTTTCCTGTCACTGGGTGTCGAGTTGGTGAGGTTTTAGGGTTTTTTTTGTGAGGTTCCATCAAATAATGAATGGTCTGTCTAATCAAAGCAAATGTGTGACCAGATTTAAATTGGACAGAACCTGACTAGAAAAGTTCTTTCCAGTACAAGAAACATAAAAAAACTTAGTATACAAAAATTAGAATATGTCATAGCCTATTTAATTTCTGTGTACGTCGCACAGTTTGTTTTCTCTTATGCCAGAGTGAATACTTCCCATTCAGGTAGGAATCTTTCTACCTCTAATTACCAACCTTCCAACTTCTAGCCTTCAATTTTATCCATGCTTCAATGTTTCTTTTAGAATCTCCTGAGTCTAGTTGAAGAGCTCAAGGACAAACTAAAAGAAGAAAAGTTAAAGCACAATGAAACAAAAAAGAATTGGAAAGCTAAAGAGGAGGAAATCAGACAAGAAGTAAAAAGAGAACTAACAGAATATTTGGAGAAAGCCAAGGAGCAAGAAAAGTGAGTTTTGTTTCAGATTCAGATAATGTTTAATGTTAATGTCTAAATGTTAATTAATGTTTTCAGGGTGTATACCAACTGGGAAAACCGGGAAAAAACATTGAATGTAACATTGAGTGACCTGGAAGAAACCGGGGAAAAGCCGGGATTTTTGGAGCGATTTTGGTATTTTTATTATATTTTATCCCCGGCCCGGTAGAAGATTGCAATCCTAAAACCTGCATTTGCCCCAATCGCAGAAGACTATGATGGCGTTTCTGTGACTGTGGGAGACGAGAATGTTGTCTACACTGCAGCGGTAAATATTGATGATTTTGCCGCGATCACGGATGATGACGATGATGTTTCATTGACCTCGAGAGTCAATGATAATGTCTACATGGCCGCAGAAGATTTTTGTGATTTTGCCGTTTCCGTGAACCTCACGTTTGTTTTGGTTTTTGAACATCACGTTTCCGTTACCGCAAAAGACAATGATGACGTCTACACGGGGGCAGGAAATGTTCATGATTTTGCCGTGATTGTGGACGACAACGATTGCATTTCTGTGACCGTGAAAGAACAAATCGGATATGGCCATATTATTACTCCAAACATAGTAAAAATGGGAATGTTGCTGAAAGTCAACAGTCCCGGAAGATCAAATAATTTATACCTGTGCCGCTAGGTCAAAAACTACAATGTTTGCAGTGTCTGTAGATCAAAAGTCCCAGTAAGTCAAATAATACAGTCCGAGCTAAAAACGTGGTCTATATTAAAGCAGTTGACTTATTGGGAATTTGACCTAATGCAACAGCAGTTTTAATATATCGAAATACGGTAAAATACAAGTTCAGTTTCGCTGAGTCAACAGTGCCGGAAGATCAAAAGCAATAAAAGTGAACGTCGATTCAGTGTAAAGTAGACCTTCTGCAACGCTTACTACACAAGCAAAACTCGCTTTTAGTTACTTCGTGTTTTGTCATAATTAGAATAGAGCTAAAATTATCATATTTGGTACATAGCTTATCTATTAATGCTTCTTGCCAACTGTTTGGTCAACACTGTAAATAGGTATAGCCTTTCGTCAAAATTTGTGGCATGAAATACACGCAAGGACGATCTGAAAATTTCTGGTTATTATATACGTTTGTAAAAGGAGATCCATTTAATTTTAGAACTATTTTATGAGTTATAATGTAGTCTACACATAAACTGTGTAAATGTATTACGCCTCGGAAGGGTTGAAACCTGTCCAAACTATCATATATATTATTAAAACGTAAATGGGGTTTTTCACGATTCTGAATCAACCAGTCAACGGATTTTCATTATTTTTGTGTTCAAAGAAAGATAATTTTGAGAACTAGGGAATGTCAAAGCCATAATTTTAAATTAGGGTCCCGGTTTTTTAGAAATTAAGTTTTAGTTTTTAAAAAGTCTATAGCCGATGCTAACCTTCTCCAATAGTCAATGCTTCTAGCTAGCTTTTAGTACAATATAATTTGCTTAACATAACAGCTGTAACATTCAGCATTTGTGACACAAATTCAGCATTTGGAAAAAAATTCAAATACATACTAATGGTTGACTTATTTATACTATGTGTAATGTTTAAACAACACACATTTATTGAGAGTTACTGAATTGTCCAAAGGAAGTATTTGCAATGCTATTTTCTTGAACTCCTAGAGAGCCTTTGAATGTTATTAGGCTAACGAAAAAGCGTTGTGCATGTTTACTAGTGCTACTCAGCAACGAAAATAATTTAATTTATCTCTAAAAAACATATTCTAAAGTGCACTGAGCAGCAGTCTAAGAAATACTATGTAACTTTCTCATATAGTTACAAAATGCTCAAACTCGCATTGTGACATTAATTTATGAATCGGCTTATATTTCTCCAACAGTTATTCATCTGCAGAAGATGTTCAGTGTGCTTTTATCGTGTCTAATAACATCAAAACACAAAAACCTTGCCTAAAATGGTACCTATCTTGACACATTATTTGCAGTGGCCTATATTACGGGCCGTGGCCCACTGGGTTGGTAACATCATTGAAAGTAACACGATATTTTGGCTGGAAGAGTAAATACTATTTAAACAGCTACTGTCATGACAGGAAGGTCATATTTCTTTTAAACTAGATCACATTATCCTTTATAAGTTGATTAACAATGCATGTAAACGTCAATATTTACGTAACAGCCAATTTAAATCTCTTTGAAACTGCCATATTGCTATTTGATTTGCATTATTTGTTGCCAATGAAGCCACACGACCATATAAACGAGGAGGCCCCCAACCGTCGATTTCGACGGCTTTCACCTAGTTCCTTATATACCGGGTAACCGCTGTTCATGTGAAAACGGTAAAACCCAAACTCAAACGATGATGATGATGTAGCTACAACGTATTGTTTGAAATTTAACAGCTGAAAATAAGTGAAATAGAAAAGGTTTTTGGTTCAATCCATCAAATTGTAATTGGACACTAGTAAGTACTAGTGCACTTGTTGCTACCTCCCCCCTTCGGTTTCATGTATTCCTCTCAATCAGTTCAAACCTAGGAGGATTAAACATTAATGTTAATTAATGTTAAATCCTCCTAGGTTCAAACCTGAAACACCCAGATCGAAACTCGCCTGTCGTTATTTTAACATCGCCTTATTTTTTTACTATATTTTTCAAAAAAGAAAGATTATATTGATTTACTTTGGATTTTAAAAATGTGAACGTTTTATTTTATTAAAGATTTATGGTGATAAGTACGTAAATATTGTGGTGTAGTAAAATATATTATATTGTAGTTAAGTGTTAAATTTTGAAATTTTAGGGCGAATCAAGATGAATCATTGTTTATAACATGGGTCTCTCCTACCTTAACACACATACCAAGTTTCATAAACATCGGTTGGAAAAGTGTAAAGATAAATATTTGTATGTAAAAAATACAAAATGGCGGATATCTGGTTAACGAGACGATTTTGGAAAAAATGTTATTCTTGATTTTCTGTTTATTTTGACCCAAGGAATTACTAGGTAAAGTATCTTCCCTCTTATTTTAACACCCTGTTTATGATGTATTCTTATAAGTGAAAAATGTAAGCTGGTAATACAGAAAGATGTTTTATAAATAATATGAATATCCTGGTGATCTGTATATTCATCTTTTTCTTGTCCTTAGAACTGTACATTAAAAGTCCACTCAGCAGTCGCATCGTACGATGTAGTTCTTTACATGCGAAATGCTAAATTTGCCGTCCTATTCAACCCAAGTTATCTATTGAACCACTGATTGTAAAAAAATCCAAAAAAATATATTTTACGCATCACACTTTTGGCTACAACTTTGCCACAGACAAAACCTCTGTAACCCAAAAACAAAAAAAAATCTCGCATGCTAACTTTTTCATGTTAGAAATCACGATTTAAAACCATTTCACCATACAAATCAATTTTTATTAATTAGATCGGTAAATAGTTTAAAGTTCCAACAAAATAGTCATCGAGTAGGACTAACCAAGAAGCTCTGTGCCAAATTTCAAAAGTTTAGCACAACTTTAAGTACACCAAAACACGAAATTATTGAAGTCATGCGTCGAGAGGACTATCGTTGTTTTTAACAGATTATACTTTTGACCTTCCGGCACTGTTGACTCAGCGAAACTGAACTTATATTTTATCTTATTTCGTTATATTAAAACTGCTGTTGCATTAGGTCAAATTCCCAATAAGTCAATTGCTTTAACATAGACCACGTTTTTAGCTCGGACTGTACTATTTGACTTACTGGGATTTTTGATCTACAGACACTGCAAACATTGTAGTTTTTGACCTAGCGACACAGGTATAAATTATTTGACCTTCCGGGACTGTTGACTTTCTGCAACGCGTCCGTAAAAATGGAAATAACCTAATATTATTATATTTTGAAAAAGTTAACTATCTATATGTAAACTCACCTTTCCTGAAGTAAGGTCCCATACCCAACGATGCACTAACTACGCAGTATTAACTGTATTTTTAACCGACTTCCCCACTACCAACAAAGGAGGAGGTTCTCAATTTGTTTGTGGCGATGTTTTTTTTTCTATGTATGTTCACCAATTTCTCTGTGATTCTTTTACCGATCAGTGTGGTTCCACCACCAAAATAACCAGGAGAATTTCTATTTGGTACCTTATATATTATGTTTAAGTATAATATTTTTTTCGGTGAAATATTCTGAAAACCTTAAATATTCAACATTTGTTTTGTTTACATTTGTCCAGATTGTTTACATTTGTGCAGAGAAGGCAATAAATAATAATAACATTCCTACAGCTGTTAGTTGAAACCATTTAAATGAAGCTACAGACAATTCTTCATAAAACAGTTGCTTCACTGATCAATAAACTATTTCTTGCCATGGAGCCTTTGAATTACATTGAGAAAAATGCATTTTGTTTTGGTTACTATAAAAAATGTATTTTAACGTTTGACCTGATTTGTGTATACAGTAGGGGTCTGCGGGTCCCCGATTTTTTCGGGTTTGGTCGTGCCAGCGGAAGGCCCGAAAGACCGGTCGGGTCAGAGATTTGTTCGGGCCAAGATCGGTCGGGCCAAAAAAAATTATTATTTTCAAAGTTATAATAAGTAATTTTCAAAGAAACACTCTTATATATATTATTACAGAGGAATTAAAATATTAAAATTAGAATTAAATATTAAGTTTGCTCACGTTTAAGAACAAAGAAACAACAGAGCAATTGCCTTACTGTCACTAGCCAGAGCCAGTCGTCTACTGACAAAACAAAAGCCGTGACTCAACAGTGCAAAGAAAACGAAGTCAAAAGAAAGACTATTTATCCAGAGGTCCCATTTTAATTATTTATTGTTTATTCCATACCTAGTTTAAAATATATTTTAGTATTTTATTTACATAATAAATTATAAACAAAAGAAATATCTGATATAGTGTACAGATCTGTATCTTGTTCTTTTATTTTCCTATTGTCCTTTTTGTCATTCAGTAACAA